CCCTGGGGGGATTTAACAGCCGGGCAGACGCGGTGCTGAGGGACAGGATTTTGGGGGTGGGATGGCAGGGGTAGGGGAACGGCTGGGCTGGGGGAGCTTAAAGGGCTTTGCCAACCCAAACCATTCTGTGATTCTAAGTAGAAGGGAAGGAAAAAAATGACAGACAGCATTTTTTTAAGAATAAGGGGTATTTTGACAAGGTACATAAATGGGTTAAAAAAAACAATAGGAAAAAAATCAAACCCATTTGCTCCTCTTGATAGACTGTAGCAAGTGCGTGAAGATGTCTTTTCCTTCACCCTTAAACTGTTAGCACAGCTACAAACATGTTCACTTCAAAATGCCCTCCTACACACGTGCGCTCAGGTAACAGCAAGGCAGACAGCCCGGATCTGCGAGCTCTTGCAGGGCTTTCCGAGAGATGAACACGTGGGTGTGTTTGTCCTCACTGAAGACAGCAGAAACCTCTCTGGTCTTGGTGCATGTTCCCCTCTGTCCCTATCCTCTCCCCTCCGAAACAAGGTATTTTTTCAAAATCGTGAATTGGTGAAGAATGGAAAAAGACCTTTTCTGAGAAGGCACGTGTTTGCTGTATGACCCACAATTCTGCAAAGCCCCGAATGGCAAGTCAGCCGTTTTGCTGAGCGGGGCATGTAAACAGAAGCAAATCATAAAATTCAAAGCACTGGCTTTGCAAGGGGAGGAGGAGCTGAAGGATGCTCTTGCTTTCCTTCTCTTTATGGGTTCGTTGTGGCTGATCCCAGCTGACCCACGTGGGCCAGTCCTGGACAGCCCTTGTGGCCTGGTCCCCGGCAGGCTAAGGGACTGCCATCTGCTCCAAGCAGAGCAAGGCCCATCCTTCTTTCCACTCGGGAGACGCACCAGCTTCACCCGGCCCCTGGCAAAACTGACCCTGGCTTCAGTGCTGGCTCTGGTCCCAAGGGAGAACCGGCACAGTCTGGCCCTTAACTCTCGTTGGTTTGCACTGCAAGTGGAGCGCTCCGTCATCGGCTACGCCTGTGAAAACGTGCCGGTTACCTTCAGCCACAAAGCCCAGCACTAGGGATGACAGGCAGAACCTCAGACTGCCGCTAGGAGACTGCACCCCTCTGCCTGGGGAGGCTGGCAGGCAAGTCGCACCAGTTGCAGCAGAACCCCCAACCTGCTGGGCAGGACGCGCAGCACCCGCTGCTGCTGGCGCCGGGTTAGCTAGGGACCACCAGAGCCTTTCCAGGAGGAGGTTACAGCCTGCTGAAATGCTTCAGAAGTGAGAGACGGCCGCGTTGTTAGACAGTAACTTCTTGCAGACAGGAGTTGTTACTCAAGCTAACAGCCCACACCAAGCGGAAAAAGGCAGAAAAGGAGAGTTCGGGTAAAGTGTTGATTATGTCCGTGGGTTAATTTCGTGGGTTTTTTGCTTTTTTAAATGGAAGGTGATTGTCCAAGTTGCCGGTTAGGATACAACACATGGAAGCATGCAAGGTGGAGCCCATTATTGCACCAGTAGCTACAACCTACAAAGAAAGGTGGGAGGGGAGGGAAAAAGACACCGTGAGAGTTAGTTTTCAGTTATTTAAAGCAAGCCCTTGAGAACTACCTATTATAAAGCTTACACCAGAATAAAGCATGGGGTTAGTGCGATGGTTCGCAATGGATTTGTCGGAGGGGATGTGAACAGGGCTTTAGTGGGTTTTGAATCTGCGTGGGTCTCTGGCTGGCGTGACTACAGGGAGGCTCCCAAGTGTCACTTGAATACCACGCAGTTTGCAGGGGATGAACAGCAACTGAGCTGTCTGCACTTTCACTTCAATGAGCACTAATTCCGCTGCCACTGCTAATAATTAATTCTGACACTTAAAGTACTTCTCCCCTATTAAATGGTTTGAGCAGAGAAAAAGTAGTAATGTATGCAAATTGCCATGAACCACTTGTGCGGGGGGGTGGGGGGGTGTTGGTCCGTCTACCCAGGGAAAAATAATTAGGGTAGCTACTACATAAGACATCGCTCTGCAGTTCCTCAAGCTGTTCAAGAATAACTCCCTATGGAAACACTAATCCAAAATAATGACTTGGCAAATTGCTCTGGAGTAGAGCATTCTCGTGAACTGACTGCCCAGATGGGAAGCGTTGCTTCAAATCCATTTCCAATGTGACGTTAGAGGACAACGCGCGAGTGCGATTGCATGGGAGGGTGGAGGCAGCCTGGGCTCTCGGTCTGCTCTGTGGGGTCTGCTCTGGTAGGCGAGGAGACGCTACGTTCAAAGAACAACTGCCAAAGGTAGGGTGCTCTCGAGCCTGCGTTGGACCTTTTTAAAACGAGCGCTGCGATATGCATATGTCCAGCGTCAGGAAAAAATACCCGACTGTTCTACTTAGCGGTGCGAGGGCAGCAAGCATTCAGTCCTCGCTGATAACAGTGTCCTTTGGTATAAAGATGAGGCCACAGTCTTGGAGAACTATTCAGCATTTTAAAGTGGTTAGACACGGTAATGTACCAGGGATGCAGTGTAAATGTTAGGGAAGTTGCACAAGAGACAAATGGCGAAATTTCCAACCAAAACCCCAAACGAGCCACACCCACCAAAGCACAAAATGCTGTGACAGCCGCCATAGAAGCAAACAGAAGCGTTTAGTTGGTTATGATAAGGTATTGCAGGAAGAGCATGAAGGGTTATGGGAAAGAAAGGGGTAGATTAAACGTCGAAAAAAGAGAAAATAAATATTAGAGGTTCAGTAGATGAAAATAAACAGTGAGCAAAGTGTGTGTGAAATGGGCACTGGTTGCAAACATGTCTGATCTCCCCCAGACGTTAAGAAAAAATACTGAGGTCACCAAAATGTAACCTTGTGCCTCAGAAACTCTGAGCACCTTCCTGAACCCGGGCTGGCTGCCTTTCAGTGGGGTTGCAGGGCCAGCCGCTTAACTGAAGTGCACCAGAGCTACTCGGGGTGACAGCGGCCAGCAGTGGAGATGAGACAACTGACATAGAGCTGGTCTGGGGTGGGGGATTCGGTCTCTGGGCTCCAGCCATTTTATCTCCTTTGCTTCCACTTGATTTTGGTAGAAGCAGGAACCATCCTCTGGGAGAGACGGGTTATTCATGAGAAGGGAGACTGAAAGTTTTAGGCCTTGTGGCTTTATATGCTCATCCAGTCGGAACCAGAATGAGTTTTATATTCCAGTCTGGTCTGTGACAAGCGATGTCGTGGGATGTACAATCAGATGTTTTGAGGGAACTCTCCCGGTTTTGACAGTTTACAGATGCTTGATTGTACGAGACCTTTCCTCCCCAATTGCAACACAGAAACTGACTTAGAAAGTATCGCGATCTGACAAGGATTTATGCTGACTTCTCATGATTTATCCTTCCTTGATCCAGATCTTGACATAATTCCAACTTAGAGATTCAGCCCAAACACTGCAACTCGTCCCTAGCTGTCAGTTTCCTGCATCTTCAGGATTTCTGAATCACTTGACACGTGATTACCACCTACTCTGGTTTGTCCTCAGCAGTCAATCACTCTGAGTCAGGACGAACGCTGCATTTCTTTATCTGCCTGTGCAAATTGGGCGCCCTTCCAGAAAGAGGAGGGGGCTGGATTTTTTTTCCTACATCCTGGAGGAAGGCTATGAATTTAGGGCTCTTCCAAAATTTGACAGTTCCGTTTCAAAGGGAAATGGTGGCTCATTCTTTGGTCCTTCCCTTCCTCAGTCAGTACCAGCCATTATAGGGGACATCCTAACCACTTTGGGGTCAGCGTGGGCCCTTTCCAACACTGTTGGTAGATACTCTCTGAAACTAAACATAAAGCTGGGTAAGTAATCGATGGAAGGAGGGAGGGGAATATATTAGAGTAGGAAATTAACTGTCTGAAGCACACAAGCGTAATTGCATCATTTCCTAGTAACTAGAAAAGCAGAACAGCACACTGCTACTCTCCCATTAGAGGTCTGACAGCCCCCAGGAAGGCAAAATAAAGCACAGAAATCATCAGTTAGCAAATTCCAAGCAGCATAAATGTTCTTAACAGCAGCAAATACTCACTCAGCAGACTTCCAGAAATGCCCTGGGTGGGAGAGCCGACGATTCAGTTTTGGCAGTTTTTCAAGCATATCCATAAGGACAGTGAAGCTAGGTCTCTCACTGAGATCAAACGACCAGCACGCTGAGAGGATTTCCTGCAAAGGATATTTGTGGCTCATTATCTCCACTTAGTTCACAGGTCAACTGCGCAGACCAGGCAACTGACTGAGCATTGCGATTTGTGCAGTGCCAGCCAGCGATACTGGCCTTGGACACTCTTGTAATCAAACAGTATCCTGCGTACCAGTGGATGTCCACTTCTACATGCGGTTACGGGCAGAGGCTTAGCATCTATCCTGGTGTCCCATTCGAATCTGTTCTCTCTCCTGCCTTTATCTTTAGAGTTATAATAAGAGTAAAATAAATCTCTAAGCAACTCCCTCTTACTCTATGGAAGGATTCCTGCAATGGAGGTACTTACGTTGACTTCTTTCCCCAAACTAACAGTTGCAAGGACTTGTTTCACTCCTTCGCCACTTCCAATCTGCCAGATGAGTGCCTCTGCAGGCTGGTTCTTGAAAGGCCACTCTCTTGCTTGGAGCTCATACCACACAGTCCTGCAACGTCAACAGACAAATCAAGCCTTTGCCTGCTCTTACAGGAAAGGTACAAAACTCTGACACTGTTCCAATTTCTTCAGGTAAGCTCTGGAAGGTGCATGAGGCTGTGCAGCAAATCCCTCCCACCCCATGCACCTCCCACCCATGGCTTTTGTAGTAGGTGAGAAAAATGGAGTCTGTGAGAAGGGGACCACTGACTCGTAAGGCTGGGCCTGTAACAAATCTCATTTAGCAAGCTCCCGTGGTACTCTTTGGTGTTCCTCTCTTACCCAAAGGCATAGATATCTGCAGCTTTGGAGAAAGGCAGCTTGTCTTCGTCTTTCCCAGGGGCCATCTCACGAACAATCTCAGGGGCCAGGTAGCATAACCAGTCATGAGGCAGCTTCAGTTCATTCTCCCTCCTGAGTTCAGAAGAAAGAAGTGGTACTGAAACACTACTGCTTCAGCCAAGAAGCAGCGTATGGACCGTATCTGTGCTTCACCTAATGCCTTGACTTTATTTACTCAAATGTTTTCACTGACATTTCCTTTTAAATTTTCTTGCCATATTAATAAATATGCCTGTGTTAGCCTGACTCTCTAGCTCATTCTTGGGCTTAAAGTTTTCTTTGTTCTGTGTCCTGAGTCTTCCTCCATACATAACTTCCTAGCGCTGTGCTATGGGAATTGTAGAAAGAACTCTGCTAAAAAAAAAAAAAAAAAAAAAAAGAAAAGAAAGAAAAAGTGCATATTCCAAAAATGTATGTACTAAAGGAATCAACGCTCCTCGCTCGTACTGTGTAATGCATCAGAATGTTCCCCTCCTTGGTCGTTATTTATCACACTAGAATTGGCCCAAGCACTTACCTTCCTTCCTGAACCACACCCGAAATTCCAAATAATCCGAAGTCAGTGATCACAACTTTCCCATTGTCATAGAAAACATTCTTGGACTTCAGATCCTTATGTACAATCCCCTTTGCGTGAAGATACCCCATGCCCTGGGAAATACAGGCAGAGAAGTAAACTTTTTTTTTTTAATTACTTACAAGCCTCTAACTCTGGGCCTGCTTTACTTTCTAAGAGACGTTTAGTTTCATTGCTCCAGCATAAATGATTAATGGTAAGTGGGGACACAGCAGCTGTCTGACTTATGCAGGAAGGGTGCAAGGGAAGTCTGCAAGGGAGCAGATCTTAAGTTGAGTGCTCAACCTCTGAATTGCCTTTCATCCTCGCGCAGTGGGGCTGCTGGCGGGTACTCTAGGCTGAAGCGTTAAGGGGCTGTGGACTTTGCAATTCTGAAGAAGTTTGTATGTGCAAGAACAACGAACAACTGACACAAGTTTGCTCACTAAATTCACGGGATATTTCTGCCAGAAAAGAAAACAGCAACTTTAGAAATGCTTCTTCAGTTGAGAAATATTGAAACCAATCACAGAAAACACTGTGCAAATCTGGGAGAAAATGCCATCTACTTCAGAATTCATGAACTTAGCTGCAGTTACTAATAAGAGAAGAGACCGAGAAGGAAAACTGTCCTTCACTGTTCCCTTTACCTAATTCTCCCTCTCCGGCCCCTTACTGACAATGGAAGCTCTTATTTCTGTCCTTACAGGCCCATAGCTTACTGCCCACTAAATCAGCACTTTTTTTCAGCCAACTTTGAGTATCTCCTGCTGCAACCCCCTGTTGGGCTACTGAGACTTACAGAACCTCTCCAGCTGTGCAGCTTCTAAGCTCTCACTGAGGCATTGCCTGGAAAACGGATGTCTCCGTTCGCGTCATGTCCCCTTACCTTAATGATCTCTTGTGCTATCTGCCTGGTTTTGTTAATATCCAGGGATATCTTGGGGTCCCTTACAAACGAGTGAAGCGTTCTTCCTTTGCAGAAGCTACAGGAAAGAGGAACAACAATCCTGAAAAAGGTCTTTAAAATATTGAAGAGAAGTAAGAATATAACACTGGACGTTCAATAGGTTTTCTTATCATGTTGACAGAATCCCAGCCCCTTTCCACTGCTGATAAATGCCATTCTGAAGAACTTCAAGGACCCAATTGTACAGGAGACCTATGTTAAAACATGCTCAAGGGTATGCAACTAATGCTTAGGTATTTCTTCAGAAGCCCGGTTGTTGTTATACTGCTCTGACATCTGAAGTCCAGTTTTCAAAATCTGACCACCAACTTCTGCTGCTGGTGCTACTGGTCACTTAAGTTGGACCTGGCAATTAGAAATGACTGTGTTCCTCCTTGCCAGACCATGAGAATGGCATGCCCTTGGCCTTAGTTAAATTCAGCCTGCATATGACCACCCCAAAAGCTGTTATTTAGGGGCTAAATGATCCTCATCTCAACTAAATACACTGAAAACAGAAGAGAGGAGAAGACATTTTTGCCTAATCAGCAAGTGTCCCTAAGAGGAACAGAAAAGAACAGATAAGAACAGATAACTATTGCATGATCAGCCTCACACATTGGTTTATTGTCACTTTGCTGAACTGGAACCATCTGGAAGTAGACGACAGAGGAACAGGCTGTTCTGGATGTTTTTTCTCCTGCTTTTTGAATTTTATTATTTAAGAATTCAAAAATAAAATTGCCAAAAATTATAATGTGTTCCTTAAAAGGAGACAACCCTAGTGTCCAAAACACAGACTGCATTCATGTCTGCTACCTCCTGACGGCAGTGAAAGGTTTATTTTTATATATAAAAAAAATAAATAGGTCTATCTATATCATATATATATATAAAAAATAATACTAAGATGCTATATCCTTACCTGGTAATGATTGCTAAATGAGGAGGGTTCATGCATGCTCCCATGAAAAGTACCACATTCTCATGCCGGGTCTGTCTGTAGTTCATCACCTCCTTTTTAAAGAGCTTGAGATGATCCTGGTTGTTCCCATCTATCTCCAACAGCCTGATGGCCACTTCCCCGTGCCATTTTCCCTTGTAAACCTTCCCCCATCGTCCTTGGCCAATAGGATCCCCCAGTTCAATCTGTTCAAAGGGAATGTCCCATTCCTGCAGGTAGACGCTGGTCTGGCTAGGTTTGCGATAAATCATCCCCTGCAAGTGTGGCCGTCTGTTTGGCAAATCTTCTACCTCATCCTCATCGTCTTCGGGTTCTGATTTATTAGTCTCTGGTTCTTCCACCTGTTTACAAAACCAGGAGGGAAACATATGCCAAGAGTCCCATCTGAGGGGCAGAAGCAGCCTGCCAGGCAGCAGTAAAGGCTGCTTTGCAAGAACTTCAGGGGTTGGATGCACGCATTTGCCTACAGCTCTAGGAGCAGACCTCGCAGGACAGTCATCTCAGAAGGCTACAAAAAGATGTACAGCTTCTGTATGTGAGTGCACGCAGGTGAAGACAAGAAAGGCTTTATCCCATATAGAGTTACATTTGTAGAACGAGCACTAACATCTAGGGGCTCAGCATCTCTCAGGATTTGGCCTTCAGTGTGGGGAAAGATACTACACGAGCACTCTAAAAGGAAGGGTCAAGAACCTCTTTGTTCCTCAAATAAATGTGGGTGGGTTTGGGGTTTTTTTTCCAATTACTAAAATTCTCCTGTTAGGAAGAAATACTCCCAAAATTAGCAAGCTTGATCCAAATTCCAGTAAGTTCTGCTGAAATCATTGACTCTATCTCTATAGGTTGACTCATCCCTATAGAAATCCATTTCAGGTTCATACTACAAGCTTAATATGTGCTTAGGGACTACGAAAATCAGTCTTGTGCATAGGTATGGAAAAGCTTTCCCATGCAGAACATTAGCTCATGGTGGATCCTCCAAAGCACAGCCTGTAAGCATGGGCTTATGTGACCATAGGTAGCACCTATGCGTGCATTACTTGCAGATTTGTGGTCTGCAGAGCATTTAGACCTTGTAACTCCAGCAGCAGGCCTGCAGCTCTCGTAATGTAACCACGTCAGCGCCAAACTGAGTGAGCCAGAAGTTTGAAAAATACCATCTTAGCCCGATTAGAAAAAGTTAAGTATTGTTACAGGTACTTAAATGTTTCAGTCTAGCTACAGGAACCATGAATTTTCAGTTGAGATCTTTGCAGTACAAAGAGTTCAGTGGAACTGAGGTGAGGCACAGCGAGTCTACACTCGTAATTGCAGGGCTACAACTTTCTTTGTTACACTTTGAACATCGCTCTTCTCATTGTACAAAAGGGCAAACCAGAAAACCTACCTCTGCTTCACATTCCACTCCATCTGTCTCTGGCTGTTCATGAGCACTACCAAGAGAAGACAGGTTTACAGTGAAAATAATGTTTGCATAGAAAAGTGGCTGCGACATAGGCCATTAGTGGGGTGGAAAGAAGCAAATAGGGAACAGATCCTGATAGCGTTATAGTAGGTCAGAGAAAAATACAATTACTGCTCCACTTATCTGCTAAGGACCTTCTAAGCTTACTTTAGCAAATAAGGCACAAAGACATTGAAGTGATTTTCAATGATTAAGTGGGAGGAATTGATTTGGCAGTGGCATGGCTGCATTATTACAATGTGTTCCAGGAACGGATACTCCTATTCCCACCACTGAAACATCTACAGTGGAGAAGCAACGGTGAGTGCTGGCAATGCAGGCTAAAACCTTTCGTGTGCCCTACAACTCGGATCCTTAAAAAAGATGTTTGCTTGCAGCTAAGTGTGCCGTGCTCTTTTAATGGTAAAACTCTCTAGCTTCTATTTCATCGGACCTTTCTGATCTCCGGAATGCACACGTAACCATAGCTAGATATTAATGGTGTGCACTTCTTACTCTCTGACTTAAAGTAAATATCGTATTCGGCTTTATAAAAATGGGAGTACCGGTACCACCCTTGCTGACTAAAATTATCCTCTGAGTTCTCAGATTATAAATTCAGTTTTGGTCATTACATAGCGCTTTCAGACTGATCTGAAGATTATCAGGTAAACACTATGCAAATAAAAGAATTTAAAACTATACTTACTTAGTGTCTGCAGCTGATTCTGGAGGTTGTGCTATTTGTGCAGGACTGGAAACTTCTGGGAAAGTAGAAACATTTATTACACATATTTTAGATTTTAATCTCTTACAGATTTAACACTGCAGTAGTGATAACTTGCTTCTTATTCAGGAATTATAAACTCAACTCAACCAGAGACGATGTGATTTTATACTTCTGTTCTTCTAAAACTACGCTCATCTTTCCTAGTACTTACATGCCTGTATATCGACCAAGCCCAGTCTTCTTCCCATCCACCTACTTATCTGTAATGTCTTTCAAGGCCAGTCCTTGTCTGTGAACTGCTCACAGGCCTTCAACTTGCCTTGGACAATCAGAAATACTTAAATCCTTACAGAAGCAGGACATTTGAATTCATCTGTACTGCAGGTCATGCACTGCAGCTGCAGCTAGTCTGTCCCGTGTCACCAGTGCACAGGAAATTCAGCTTGGGTTGCAGATCCTTCCAAAATGACTCAGAATAAATACTCTGTACCTGGCATCCTACATCATCAGTTCTCACTTTGGAAACAAGCAAGCTGTTTCTAAGGCTTCACGAACAGCTGACTGAGCAAACTTTGTACGTGCAAATCCCCATATGAATAGTGCTGCATCACTCTTAAATCCCATAAGCAAAAGCCTCAGTTCATAAAGGTGAGCTCCACACTCCCGACCTGGCAGCGGCCGTTTGTACTAGCTCATTACATAACCCTAAAAGCAAGCCTTTTTAAAGGAAGAACATGGCTATCTATAGAATCCCACAGCAGAAAGCTACTGGTTTACAACTGAATCTTCAAAGTTTCACCTTAGTATGTAAATCACATCACTACCTCATATTACGAGAGGGAGGCCTGAATTCTAGACTGAGATAAGAGAAAGTTTGAATTGGTTTAGATACTTTTGGCGTTTTTTAAGCAGAATTGTTCTTGGGCAGCATGCAGCAGTTCACAAACAAGTTACTTTTTGGCAGCAGAAGCCGGTTAGTAGAATTAAAACAATCAACTCACCTGGGAAGATAAATTGTTGTCTATGCTGAATGTAGCAGGCAGCTTTTTTTTTTAATTGTGAGGTTTTTTTTAAAAAAGGACAGGAAAATAAATTACCAGGAGAAAAAAAAAAAAACAAAAAAACAAAAAAAACACAAACAGGTTAGAGGATCATCAGTAAGTGCCCCATATGCATTCAATGAATTAGTCCCACCTCGCTGTTGGGAACAGATTAGTAGATTATCAGCCTGCTTGAGGGGGTGAATTTCAGCACATGCATTTTTGGAGGACTATGACAGATGATACTTATCAAATGAAAGCTATGTTACCAATAAGCAAACAGTCTGGGGGGAAAACAACACATTCGGACTGCACATGGCAGAAGCAAATTTAGGGAACCCAGGAACACTAAAAGGCAGGCCCAGGTAAAAGCTGGTGCTTCAATGCTCTCTCACTTCTCCAGCTTTTCAGAGATGCACCCAGAGGAGCTGAAGCTCATGAGCCATCTGCAAGCGTATTTTATTTCCCTGAGTTTGAGCAGTATGTCCTCACACAAAGTAGTTGCAGTAAATCCTTGTACTAAACTGGCTCTGCTTCTGCTCCTTTTGAGCAGGCTAAAATAGCAACTTGCACTCACAGATCAAAAGCTTGATGCAAAATACAGCAGCGCTGAAGGCTAGATGTGGCAGCTAGTGAGCAGCATGTGACTTCATTTCCAGATCAAAGGAATTAAATTTATTCTCACTATGTAAATCTCTGCCCTTGTCAGAGATCCTTGCCTCTACTGACTTTGGTAAAGACTGCACATTTGGGTCCTTAATCTGTAAAGTATGTAGGGTAAATTCTTCTCCACCATGCATGTATGCCAATGGTTTAAAAATGAGCATTGATTGTTGGTTATCATTTGGAAGGGACTGGTAAAGTAATTCACCCCAGTTCTCATTTTCACGTTTCGCTCTTACAATCAGCTTGCTCATGATTTAAAGCCACTGGTGACCAAACACAGCAGGCAGTGCAGATTTTACAATACAACAAGAAAAGGGAGGAGAAAGAATATAATTTTTTTTTTTTTCCTTTTCAAAAAAGGAGGAAATAGAAAGATCAAATAATTTAAGAAAGGTGCTAGCACTCCTTAATAGTCTCCTGCAAAGGTATCTTGTTGATGCCACTTAAAAACCTTTAAGAACAGACCATTTTCTTTTATCAGGTAAAAAGATGCACCTTCACACCTTGCTTAAGACCCAACCATGTATTCAGGAACTTGTAACTACCTATGAAGTCTTGGTCAGCCTCTGCTTGCATAAAGGCCTTTCTGATCTTGGCAGAGCTCTCCTGAGAAAGATAAGTTTACCTGGGAAGTTAAATCGTCCATCCCTCTGGCCCATAGGAGATGGGTTTGGGGGAGGTGTTGCACTGGGAGGGTTGGAAGACTGGAAAGGGGCTGGAGAAGACGGTGTGGATGACGTTGTAGAAGAAGGATTACTGCTAGAGTCGAGATGATTTATTGCTGGTGGATGCTCCTGCAAAGCAAGGAAAATCACTCATGAGTAAACGATAAAAAGAAAGAAAGAATTCCCCTCAAAGTTTACTGAGCAACAGAGAAAGGAAAGCTGTCCCTAGCCTCGATCATAGCATAGTTCTTCTCAGTGAGTAGGCAGCTCGAGCTGTCACAACCTATGTTTTACAAGGAGAAAATGTCACGTATCAAAGTCTCCGTGCAAAGTGAAAGCTCAAGGTGCCATTCTTGCTCCAGCCAGCAAGGTACTGCTGCCACCTCTCCTTCTTGTAGCTCCTTGGTGATTTACAGACACAAGACTCCCTTCTGTCACCATATACCTTTTTAGTTAGTGCTTTGGGAAGAGTTCCAAATTGTGGTTCTGTTGGTCTGTCTACTGGATTATTGATATCAGAAGGGACAGACTCTGTTCTTCTTATTTTTGTTACTGAAAAACAGGTTGGAGAAGGGAGAAAAAAGCTTTAATCAGACTTCTTGTTCTTGTGATACCATCAATGACATTGAAATGCTAAGAACTTGTAGAAAATTACTTACTGGGAAGGAAGGATATTCTACAAGCAGGTGCCTCTTTAGTACATTTGTTGTGACATTTTAATCTGAAAGAGAAACATTACATGTTAAATAGCAACTAGTTCTTTCCCCAAAAGAGAAAGCCTACCCTTAATTTGTAATTCTTATGCTAATCTCAGAGGGAGTTCTGGAATGCTCCAGGCCCCAAAGCAGCATGCATTCATATGAAGAATCCTATTATGTGTGTCATTAGGCTAATGAAACCACATACATATCTTAGCATCTGATTTATTCTTAAAATAGTTACCTTGGCTGACACTCATCCTGCAACAGTGAAGCATTGAAATTTCCGCGCTCTGGACTAACAACCCAGACAGAGAAGCAAAACCTAAAATCCTCGCTGTTGCTTAGGTATCCAGTTCCCACTACGAGATTTGCCCACGATCAGGTGGGAAGCCCGTGGCAGGGAAATAAATTTGGTTCGTCTATGTGTCAGGCTGCCAACCTAAGTATAAGTTGTGCCAAAGCATCCCTTTGCCAGTTCAGAAGCTGACTGAAAAAATGATGCCACTGTTAGGAGTGCATCACGTCAAGAGATACTTGTCACTGGCAAACTTTAATGAATCAAATGCAAAGTTCTTCTGAAAAAGATCATCCCTGTGTGCTCACCTGCAGTACTTACACTTCACCCCGAACATCATGCTTTTCTGACAGACTTGGCAAATCTGAGATAACCAAGACTTCGTAGAGAACCTAAGTGGAAACAAGAGGGGGAAAATGATGTTAACTGGTGTCTAAAGGAAAATGAACATTTGTAGGTAGTTCCAGACAGGCTATACTCCTTTAGCCCTTTCTGAAAAGGGCAAGTGGTGCTGTGGAAAAGACTCCTTGCTTTTCTATCAAAAGCAACTGAAAGAAGGCTGGCACCAACTCTGCTGGCCTCTTGCTACTTCTCCACTCTTGGAACAGGGCTGAGAGGTGCTCAGAGGTGTCTCTGACAAGGAGACAGGGTGTGCATGGACACACATCTCTAGAAAGTTCTCAAAGCTGCAGCTCAGCAATTACAGATCTGAAGCCTCATGCAGTCACAGATATCCAAGTGATAGAATATCACTTCTTTTCATAAAACCCCCTGGAACTGGAATTGAGCTCCACCTCATGAAACAAGCAGATACTCTGAGAGGAAGCAGCCAGCACACGCTCCGAGTGCGGATCCAGCCCGTGAGCACGCGCTGCCTATCAGTCGCTGGTGTCCCTCCTTAGGTCCGCAGGACACGTCACGTGGTGCTGGTTATATTCTTCCCCTGAACATCTTTGTAGAACTGGGACCCAATTTATGGTGGGAATGTTATCCCTTTTACCAGAAAATTAAACTGGTTTGTTTGGCATTAGAACTGGCTGGCCCAGTTTTGGTTTGGATTTGAGAACGGGGATGCAGGAAGCTACAAGGACAGAAAAGGGCAATACATGCTCTTTCCACGCAGGGAGGAAGGAGCAGCTTCCCTTTCATTTGTAGCAGTGGAAGTGTTTTAGAAAAGGCTTTGTGACACATTTGGTATGCTTGGTCCTATCACCTCATACACAACATTGCTACTGCTGGTACGCTACTCATTACGGAATCTCGAGTTAACTGGCTTTGTAAAAAGGATTTCAAGTGCATATATTAAAAAGAAAGGAAGCTGAAATACATAGTTAAGGTTGAACTTGGCAAATGAGGCACCCGACCCAACTTCAAACCTATCTTAAGAGTTGTGACTGCTACAACAGCACTAAATAGGATGCTGCCCTGGTCTGACCCCGCAGTCCATTTCCCTTGTGGCTCCCAAGGCGTGTGTTTCTTACCTGTGCGTTACAGCTAAGCCGAAGTCTCTTCGTACCGTTTGAGGGGACCCTTGGGAGAGTTCTGATGGAGAACAAAAGGACATTTTAGGGAAGCATTACTCACAAGCGTGCTTACCAGTCTAGACAGAAACAAAGCGATCACTGTCATAGATAAGGACTAGCAGCCATGACACTGTTGGCAGCACAGCTGAGATTTGCCTTCTGCCGTAAAGCTCTTACCAGATACTGCTCTTTCACTTTCACTGTTTTCATATGGAGGCAATCTAAGATAAGATTTGGTGGTGGAATCCTAATTCTTCCTTCTTTTTGCTAAACCATTATGTTTTATGCTTACGGATTACAGAATTCCATCTGATTAGGTCTAGGCCATTCTTAAAGTGGAAATCAGACTTTACTCCCAACTGGTTTACCACGAATACCACCACCCAGTTTTCATGCAGTGTCGGTAGACTTCAGAATATTCTTTTACACTAAAAATTTTCATCTCCATTTTATAGACAGGGCCAGTGTGACCCAGAAGAATAAAAAGACTTACATGAGATGACTTAGCTAGCTGAAAACTGCAAAAAGGGAGGCCTAGACTTCAAAATGCCAGTCCAGCACTCCAGTGGTTATACCATATAACTTCCAAAAAACTCTCAAATACTAGGATTCTGGCATAATTCCTGAATTAAATCTATAGCCATATTGCAAACCTGGAGAAAACTCAAATCTGCAAGTACCAACACAGCCTCCAGGCTGGACACTGTCAATGCTTACAAAAAGCCAGTCTCTTTATTTGACCCTAGATGGCACCAGATTCTTTTTTATCATTATTCCAGTGAACTTTAAAAGGCATCTGTGGTCTTCAGCATCTTAGAATAGGCTGGAAAGACCAGCTGCTTTTCTAAGGAATATTGCTGATCTAGTGTGGCAATCCAAATGCAGAGTCATCTGAATTAATCCTAATACAACAGTTAAGATGGCTAAATCCTTACTGAGGAGTCCTAATGAATATAAGAAAGTTTGGAATTGAATGGGACTTAAAAGAGCCTACAGCATAGATTTTAAAACAGACAATATGACTATATGCACAGAAGCACCAAAATTGTTCGTTTCTGTTGGAATTTATTCAAATGCCTTTTTTATTTATTGCATAAATTCTATCACTCCCCACACAGAAATGCTCAGGTTTCCGCTTACATTTTCATTTTACAATTTTCTTTCTACGCCTTTTCATTTCTGAAAGTAATTCCTGGGATTTTTGTTTTAAAGGGCATTAGATGTATGTGTGGTGGCATAATGTTCTTATCTGGACTTCCTAAAAAGGTGAGACACTCTCCAAGATGCTCATATCTCTCTACATTAGCTTCCAAGGTTACAGGTTGTGTCCGAGACAGGCGCACATAGTCACATCAGGACAGCTACCACACAAAATGGCGTTGACGCACTACTGGGTAAAACCACAGGTCCTAGTCCTGTCAGCCATTGCACAGGTGAACAGGCCCACCGACACCAGAGGAAGCATTCCACATTTAAGCACAAGCTGAAGCGTTTCTCGGAAGGCTGCACCCAACTGTCTAATTTCATTACAGAGATACTTGGCAATGAATATCCAAAGACACTAAATGGTTAGATAGGGAGTTATTTCTAGTACCAAGAGGCATCAATAACAGCTGTCTAAAGTCACAAACAAGCAATTACATCCAAACCCCTTGTTTTAACCCTTTAAACATCAATATTCCTTTTCCTTGCTTTTGTCGTCTGAAGAAATACCAGGTACAAAAAGGACCATGTAAACATCCTGCAGTTCTCCAGTAGGCCAAGCTCCTGTTAAACTTAACAGAAACTCTGGGCTACAAGGCCTGATTGAGGACCTCCAGAGGTTGCACAGGGATGATCAACAGGGAGTTGGCAAGGACAGGTTCTTCTCTCTCAGCAATGACACGAAGACAGCCCTGTAAAAATCACTTACCGAACCTAGAGAGAAAAAAAAATATTTTTTTAGACATTCTTATTCATGTGACAGGATACACGCTTTGTGAGTGCAGGAACTCTTTCCTGAAGCATTTGATGTCAGGTTTACAAACATCTCTGGTTTTGCACAGGCTCCTGAAGTTGCCGCATAGCCAATATTTTCCTGCCTACAAATGGTAGTGTTTGCTGGGTAGAGCTCCAGCTCCAGCCAGGACTGCACCTGAATTTTGGCTTGCAGACGAGAAGCGTTACTGGGCTGCGCAGCTCAGTCAGCTGGCAGGCTCCATGGAAGTGCCTGAATCACGGAAGCGCTACGTTTTGCAATTCCTACCAGACTTAAATCAATAGGACCTAGATCACAGCAGGACCAGGCTCTTACCACTGAATTTCAAAATAAAGCTGTGCATTGGCCACAGATGCTTACTTGCTGCATTTAGACATTTATTTGCAGGTTTCAGTATATACTTCATATGCACTCACATTGTGGAAGACTACTGTACTGCTTACAAGGCAACGCATTTATAATGAATTCTTTCATGTCAGTCAGCAGGCAACACAGTACTGCAGCATCAAAAGCACAGCCCTTTGCTGTTAATGCTCACACCCAAAATCTCAACTCCATTCTGAGCTGGGCTAGTTTCCTTTTTATAAAAATGTAATTTTGGCAAAAAAATGTCCTGAGTAGAACAGGCTCTTTGAACTCTTCCAGGTAGTCAAAGAGTTAGGGTAAGGGGTAATGATCCAGTGCCTGCTACAGAAGCTGGATGCTGGCCTAAGACTCTGCAACGTTTAGGGGTATCCAGAGTCTTTGGAAGGCACATTTCTTTCCCAGTTTCAACTATTAGTTAAATGTTAGATTACTACCTTCCATCCTATCTACACAAAAAAAAAAGTGTATCTCAAAGCTGGGATCAGCCCAAAAAAAGGTGTAGCCTAAGACCGTTCGTCTTGTTATGGAGCTATAGTTGTCTATACTGTAATAAATGTGTTTTAAAGCTCACACTAGCAATTAAAATACATCTTAAGATAGCAACATAAAAGAATACCAGCCACCTGAACTGTGAGGAACATTTAAGAACAGAAGAGAATTCTAGTATGGGGAATTGGCTACTAGATGCTTGAGAAAAAATGACTGGGGCCCTTTGACAGGAGCAGCCATCCCAACCTCCTCAGCAGGTCTAATTTCAAATAAATTTCAAGTACAGTACATTATTAACACGCAGGTTTTGTGGTTATCTTAGAGTATGCCACTGATACGGATTCTCAGACTACAATGAAACCATGACAAGGCAACTGGACACCACAGAGTCCGAACTGGAGCACTGAATGCCCTTTGGTATGAACAGAGCCCACCAGTGTCCATGGCGAAGGAGGAAGTGTCATGCTTACTTTATTGGAGGAACTTCATCTATCCTGTTTCCCAACTGTGATTCGTGGGACTTGCTCCTTGTGAGGGTTGGGAAGTTAGGTAGCAGCTGAAAAACCTTCCGGCAGGGGGGAGGTGGAGTCCGTGGTGGCTTCAACTTATGCCGTCTCTTGGCTTGAGGAGTGGTTGGTGGAGTGATGGTGATGCTGTGAGGAGTCCTTGGTGTTAACCTTCCACTGTGTGCGGGGAATGCAAAAGGGTCCAGGAGGTTTTCTGCATAGATAGAAGGTCCATGACTCGAGGCAAGAGAATCTGAAGATGGGATTGTAGACACCGACACAGAACGCGCCTGCTGGCTGTTGCCCTTGAGGAGGTGCAGTGCAGAGGGAGTCCACGTGGGCGCAGAGGAGCAGGGGGATTCGGTCGCGTTTGTAGAGCTGTTCTCTCGGCGTGCCTCAGAAAGGTTCATCAGCACATCATCTTTTAACTCCCCACCTGTTCACCAACCGTAGCAACGTTCGTGATTGATTAAAAAGAAAAGCCAACACATACACCCATACCACATCATTCTGCTTTAGGCTTTACGGTGGGTTTTTTTTTCCCCTGCTTTGCACCTAGCCAAAGTGCAAGCCTCCTTTCTCCTCCCCTGACATCCGTCTAAGACATCAGCTAAAGTAACCTTTAAACAAGAATGACAGTAACTACCCTTCTTTCCTATCTGTAGCTATGCATCTCAAAAGCTAAAATCAGGTCCCGTGTTCTCAGATGGGCTGAACTGTAACAGATTGGGGCCCTACTGAAGAACGTGGGATATACGTACCTACATGAAATGGGCACCCACATCCCACTGCAAGCCTCTGTGGATTTGGTGTCCATCTGTTTAGACAGATCTGTACACCCAGCCTGGCACCCTGCCTGCTTTTAGGCTGCTCTTTGGTAAGAAGAGGAAACTATTTTCTATTAGCCCACAGAACTGCTAAATAACCACTTAAAATGAGAAAGGTCATTAGATTGGAAATAAGGACTATCTAGGAGCTCCTGATCCTCATTTGGCCACTTTCCCCTCTCTCTGGCATGTAACCAGTGCCTAGAACTCACCTGACACCCGGAGTACTGGGGCACTGCTGTTCAGTTACAGGCAGCGGCAGCACTCAGCAGAGAGGCGCTGTATTTGTTCAGACTGTATTAGCTACACTGCACCAGGGACAGACAGCTGGACAAAAAGGAACCACCACATCCTGCTGGGTTGCTGGTGGAGCCCAGCACTGCCTTCTACAATGCACTCTAGTTCAGAATGATCCAGTACAGCTTGTAGACCGATTCTGGGTATGAACGGGAATAAAAAAAGGTACAGAGGCCTGCAGGCAGCAAAGCAGGAAGGCACAGATTATTGGGATAATTTCAGAGGCTTAATTCATCAGGATAACTCTCTTAGTTTTGAATATGTCCTTAATGACTTAAATCAAGGTGAAAAGTCAAAGCTTCAGGCCCTGATGTCCTATTGGCCAGTCAGTGGTTGAAAAGAGATGATATACCTGGATTTTAAAAAATGTCACCTCATTATAGTAAGTGAATGCCATGACTTCTGAACAATGGCTGGTTTTGCCACAGTATGGTTGGGAAACATTTGACATCCCAGGACAAGAAAGATTAGAAAAAAGGAAATATGAAGCTGGGCTGTTTGCTGACTTTTCCATTAACTCATCTTTATGATTTGCAAATGGTATGAACTGTCATAATACCAACAGGAAACATCACCTTTCAGTGACAGATTGGTACTTGCTACACAGAAAGATCTGATGCATGCTAGTACCAGTGAGCAACACTCGTACAACAGATTTTACAATGCCTTTGAAAGTAGCCTGGGGAAGGTGACGGGGAAGACGGTCAAACAGCACTCTGGGAATCTTGAGTTTGACTGATCTTAAGTAACTTGGTCAGATCTGTTTGCATGCTGAACCCATGCGTTTCTAATTACAGAGTACCTTCCTTTCCATAATTTCAAGGTAAATCAGGGTTCTTTCTAGCTCTTGAATCTGCTATTGGAATTTGGCTAATGATTCTATCAATTGTAGCAGTCAAAGAAAGATAGCAGGAGGCAAGCGGGTTTAGAGGGAGGTGAATCAATTGGCACACTACAAGCTACATGGTGATAAAGGGTTGTCAGAGCGACATTCTTCTCTTCCACAGCATTGAGCTGAACAGTACTCAGGCTTCTGAGCGAAGTAATGCCAAAGAGAACTACACCTCCTCTCTGAGCTAGCGATACTTGGGGAGGGGATTACCTACAAGGAATCTGGTTGTATTCATTAGGCCAAGGATGTGTGCACTGAATGATGGAGAATTAATTGGAGCATTAGACACAACGCTGAACAGAGAGGGCATAAGGATATAGTCTATTGAGTAGAAGAGGACATTTCTACATACATTTATTTCCATTTCTTTATTTATTTGACATGCTGTCAAAACCAAATCCAGTCCACAGCTCTAGATGTGTTTGATCACCGCAACTTCACGTCCATCCAAGAGCCATAACCTGATACTGGTTACAGAATAGAATCATAGAATCATTGAGGTTGGAAAAGACCTTTAAGATCATCAAGTCCAACCATTAACTTAACACTGCCATTAAAATATACCCGAAGACATTCTCTGGAGGATTTTGCAGATCATTTCATATGAAAGGAAGCAGGATGGGGGCTGGATTCCTGAGAAACTAATTCCATAGAACAAGAGGGCAGTCTGTACCTGATTCAGTCACCTTCCGTAAGCAGCTCAGAGCCCCATTGAGTCTGGAGCACTCCTCATCTCTGGCACCACATCTCTTCATTGTTTCTTTCACCTTAGACTCGTTCATTTCTAGTAAGGCATCTAAGGTTAGCTCCTCTGGTATTCTCTGCAGAAAAGCAAGATGTTACATATATTTTTTAATATGCATGCATAAATAAGACTGTCAGTTGTTACTTGGATGTATTTTAAACAGTGCCACTGCCTCACCGCCTGGTCTGACTCATGATTTACTCATTTCGGTAGTGCATCTCTCGTAAGGATCACCAGGTCAGTAACGACCACACAGCAGATCTCAGCCCTGCTCAACAGCTGCCCCCTCTCCTCCCTACATCACGAGAGACCCGGCATATGCTCAAGTGTGCTCTGTATCATTAGGATGTTATTTAAGTTAGGATTAGAGGCGATCGAAATATTCTCCCCCTGTGGAAAGTTTTCACTCAGTATTTTTGAAAAGCTACTAATGAAGGCTTAGCTTTTTCATAAAAAATAAGTCAGAAATAAAACAGGCCTAAAACCTGAAAAAATGTCAGATAAAGACGTTTGGCTTTTCAGTAGGGAAGTGAAAAGTAAAACCAGTGAGGAAAATTACTTCTTTTGTTAAAAATAAATGTTTCGACAAAGAGATAGCGACCTCCTCCTCAAGCTATTTTTCCCTCATTAGAGAACCATCCTTACCCGTATCTTGCTTGGGAAGATATTTGTGCGGAACTCCTTGTACGTCTTAATACACCAAAGCCCCCAAAGTGATAAGGTTTAGATCAGGCAGACACAAAAGCTACAAGCGACTGGAAAGCATGAAGTGATCTGGTATTTCCTGACACAGAATTGAACTGTGTCGCCTCTCTCCTCCCCCATTCAAACGTTTCCAGTGTAAATCTGCAGCAATTGTGGTTAATAAACAAAACCAGGATATTTAGCCCAGATACCCAGGAATTTCCCTGAAAGTTTTGCCTAAACAAACCTCACTGCTGCCTACTCTGACAATGAGATCACAAGTTTCACAATATTTGGCCTCTTTCCTAAAGTTTCAACTCCTGGAATCAGGCTATATAAAAGGGTTTCTACTTTTATTTGAAGGGGAAACTGAAAAGTGTGTCTCATTGTTTGCAGAAACAAAAAGCTTATAATTCTCTAGATTCTTAAACCCCACTTCCGACTATAAATCAAATTTGAATGTTGTTGAATGCCCTTTTACAATCACATCTTTCTTAATCCAGACTCACGCCTTTGAGATCTGACATATGACTTCTGATTTTAACTGTGACAGCGCTAGAAACAGCCGCAACCTTTGCAGCTTTGTAGGTGGTAACACAAATAGTAATCACATAGTTCCCATTTTTAGTAGCTGTTGCATGGAGCAATGAAAAAGAATACATTGAGAAAGGGCAGAAGTCTAAGAAATGCATCCTGCATCTTCCGTCACATGCCCTGAACCGGATGAAACACAAAACACAGCTGAATCAAGGAGAGACCAAGAATTTAAATGAGCAGTATGCACAAAGCAGGTCCATAGCAAACCCAGAGTTCAATGAAGTTTGGGTCAATTTTCTTGTTCTTCTATAATTAATACTAGCAGAATAACAAAACCACAGCTATCCCACCTGACGCTGGGTATTACTATTATTCATTTTTCTGCACACCTGCACCACCAAGATGCAGGAGTAAGGCTGCCCCAAAAAGCTCATTCCTGAATTACTTCCACCGGGGTAAAAAGCAGGAAGCACAAATTCTCCAGTGAAAACGCAGTGCAGGGATTCCTAACCTGGTACTACACTCCAAAGGACAAAAAAACCCCCAGGGGCTCAGATCATCTGAGCTGAAATTGGAATGGGTTTCCACAACTCAAAATATTCCAGCATGAAGCCAGTTGCAGGTTTGCTCACACAGGTCCCCAGCCAAACTGGGCTGATAACAACAGAATTCAACCAAGTGTTTCTTATAGTTAGTTATTTCCCCAGCACCCCCTGAATTCCTCTCCCCTGCACGCAGACAGGCAGCTCACAGAAGCATCTTTGTTCGGTGGTACCACAAGGGCAGCTCCGTGGTGCAGGATGTCAGCCTCACAGCGACACAAGCAGCTCTAAAAGGGACAGCGACTGGGGGCAAACACGGAGCAAGTTTTAGCATAATATGGAAGAAAGTTTTCTACACCCCTACGGGTACCCCTGTGCTCTGGAGCAGGAAAGCTAATGTTTCCCCATTAAGCATCAGGGAAAGCCAATGTCTGTTACAAAAACATTTGTCCCGTTTCATGCTTTTACACGGTCTTAAGAGTAAGCGGGAGCCCAGCGATGTCATTCTTGAATTATCTTAAAACGTTTCCTCACCCCCACCACTCCCCACTAAGAAAACAACCCAGATTACGTAGCCACTGTTTTAAGCAGCAGCGTCATTCCAGATCCCAGTATAAGCTACCAAGTCACGTTACCCAGTATCACCTCGCTTCCCTATCCTTCGCACAGCACAAATGTAACCAGTAACTTATTAGAGCTATTAGTAAGTCAATCAGTAAAGTGGAAAAGACTTAAGATTTCCTCGGGGAAGCAAAGCTTTTTCACCACAGCCAGTTCCACAGCCCAGGCTTTAAATGGCCAGCCCAAGCAGCTGAAACGCAGGGCCAGCTGGGAGGAGACTGGTCCCAGCACAGTTGGGGATCTGGTTTCCCCAATGCCTGCTCTGTGGCAGGATCCGGAGCGGACAAGCACCGCTGATCTGCAGTGCTAACACTCAGGGTAGCGACTGGCACAGCGGGTATCAAGGCTTGGCAGCAAACAACATTTGGGCTGGCAGAAATGCTAGTGCACCACAATGCTTCATAAAAGCAAGTGTGGCATCAGGTACTGAAAAAGGCTCGCCCTGCCCAGTTCAGAGATTACAGGGAAGTCAGTAGAGCAAATTCCAATAAAATTCTTTTTAAAAATCCCATAACACAGGGACTAGAAAAAAGGAGGAAATCAGTCTGGTCTGCAAGCCTGTGTCCACTCGAGCAGCCAGGATGCAGTCAGGTTCTCTTGTCTGTTCTCCTTTCACACAGAGGGTGAAGTACAGCAGGTACCGAGGGCAGGTGACACTACACCTTTGGCAAGAGCCTTGTACCCCTAACAGTGGGGTAAGAAATGGGCTTTTAGGCCTTTGGACTGAAAAAAAAAAAGTGATTAAATACACTGAGTGTGTGCCTCAATTTCTATCAGTAAGGCGGAATTAACTATTTTAACTTACCCCAGATTAGCCTTCCTGGTTGCACTACTATTAGGCAAGGCTTAACTGGGGAATTCCCATTCCTTCCTGTAAGAGGTATGTGGAATGGCATCCAGGCTCCGCTCCTGGCTGTAACAGCACACACACTCACTGCTCCCAAGGTACAACTCACAAGCACAAAATTGTTGAGCTCACAACCAGTACAGATGCCCGAGGATGGCAGGGATGGGGTGGTTGTGGGGTGGGCCTGGGTCCTGCACAGTGGTGTTCAGAGCCTCACAGGTCCTACTCTCATTCCCAGAGGGGAACACAACCAACTGTCTACTGGCACAGAGAACTTCGCTGTCATCTTTGTCCCATGGCAGCTTGATGGTTAAACTCCAGGACTGCCTGTTCTTGCAAGTCTGATGGTGTTTAGTGCTTTTCTTTTTTAAAGATGAAACCACTGCAACCAGGCATCCCCAGCCTTCACTTTTAATTTTCAAGCCTTCCTGGTTGCAGAGAAAAACCTTGAAAACTACCTTTAAAAAATTACAAAACATTCCCAACTGTTGAGCTTTTTAGAAGTGTTAGGGTATTTTTTCCTTTGTCTCATTCGCAGGACACAATCAGCACAGAGGGCTTGATCACCCCTAAGCTGACTGGTTTCACTTCCTTAAGCAGGTGCGTGCTCTACAACTCAATGTGTGGCCTGCCATGAAAATGTGAAATGGTCCACAGAAGGCCCAACTGAGCAGCAAAGGGCAGCCCCGGCTCTTGACTGTGAACTCTGCTCTGCACCCCTAGCACAAGCTCACGCAGACACGCTGCTGGCCTGCCCCCTCCCTGGGCCTGCAGGCAAAGTCCAACCTACTCTTTTGCTCAATAGTTTAATTTTAGAAAGAATAGCAAGTTGCAGGAAAGTATAAGTACAGAAAAGAAGATTATATTTAAACAATCCCAGTGACCTTGAGCTGGGAGAGCTCAGACTTTCTGAACCTGCTGCCAGCCCCCATGACACGCGACAAAAGAAATAAGCCTTAAAAAGGGGGGAGGGAGGGGAAGTAAGAGGCTTTCTTTAAACAGCCACTCATGTGCTGCACATATGTGGTGGCTTAATATAAAACTGGTCAACCTGATCCCTGTAAGATTGGCCTGATATGATTTAGCTCTGTGTTAGCCCCCCAGCCAATGTGACAACGATGAGGGTCACTAGTTCAAGATGGATCTTAAAGCAGGTTCTGTTACTGCTGATGCTCTGGCTCAGCTGTGGAGTTGAGGGAAGAATGTCCCCTGTGAAGCGCCCTGACAGTGCCCATCTCAGAGGAGCAGCTGGTGGGCTCCAACCCCATCAGTGCAATTCTGGGCCCTTGCAAAGGGGTTACTCCCAGTCTTCAGCACCAAGGGTGAGAGACGTGGGTCCAACAGACCTCTCTACCTGCTTCTTTGTGGGTGCTGTGGCTTTAAAAAAATACAGCTTTAAAAAAATGCAGCTTAAAGGCTTGCATTAGGGCCAAGCAAAGTACCATCTCCCTGGGCACACCTTGCCTTGAGTACAGAATGACAGGGGAAGCTGCAAGATATTCAGATACTACTCTAATAAGATCAGATTAAAAAAAAAAGAAAGAAAGAGCAGGAGGAGACAGAACCTGCTTTCAATCTTTCAGCACCTCAAAACTGTGCCAGCAAAATCTAAAGCCTTACTCACCACACATTGCTCAGCAGAAGTGATGCTAAAAAGCCCAAACCAGGAAATTGTTCCTCTCTACAACAGGCAGGAGGACTTTCCTACAAAGCCCTCCTGCTTATCAGATGTACAGACTGTGCACTTCATGGTATGCATATTTAAAAGAAAGAAAAGTAAACCACAGTGTATCCAAGAAGCCATCCAAAGGTTAGTCTCAATTAGTCAGGGTGAAGAGTTCACAA